GGAAAGAGCAGAAGCAACTCCTAAGTTTATCATTTAAGTCCGACCTGAAGTCCTTATCCCTTTGGAGATTAAATCGATTAAAGTGTTTTTACTCAGAAAACCACAATCTTAGAATGTCCGCAGTTAGAAAAATTGAAGTGTCTATCAACTGTGATAAATTGTGAAATTTTAACTTCAGAACCTGGGGATTTTGCAACAATGGATTGGAGAAGCAGAAGACTCAATGAAAATTCAGGTTTCCCGCAGCCACTTTTTTCATTTAGAAGGTTGTAAGAACAATGTGTTTTTTTTCAATTTTGAATATTTTACAAAGAAAAAAGTTTTCTTAAAACTAAAAAACAAACATTTTTCCTTCGAACAAATTTTGATTTATTCGTTTTGAGTTCGTAATCATAATAACTGTATTCCTATAAACGGACCTATAACCAACTTGATTTCTATTCAATGGTTTTTTCCAGATTATCCAACTTGAAGCAATTTATCATTAGAGAACAGGGACAGCCTCAAACGATTCCCTCAAGCAGTTTTCCAGCACACAAACTAGAAATTTTCTTGAATTGAATTGTTTTCCTTGATGGTTTCACCCAGATTCTGGCATTTGGTCTCATTCATATTTCCAAATATTAAAAAGCTTGCTCTGCGAACTTGTGCCTTTCCAAGTGCTATTCCAACATGGGATTTCTTGGTGAAGCTGAAGGGCTGCTCGCTCGCTGCAATTCTAAAACTGGACAACCTTCCGCACATGAGCGCACAATTTGGAGTGAAGAATTGGCCCACCTGACATGTTCCCAATAATCTTGAAGCCTTTAGAAGTATGGTTTGCGCAGTTGATTACTTGGACGTCAACCGCATCTTTCCAGAAACCTTTCTACCCTTGATGTTTCGGACTGTGATCGACTAGTTAACCTAGTAGCATGCCCTCTACTGCACAGTATGGTGAACCTCACGAAATTGACTGTAGAGATAGGCAAATATGCTTGAAAGAAAATTTGTAGCCAACGAGGGAAATGAATCCCAACCCATTCCAACCTCAGATTATTCTCAGTAATTGGAACTCTAGAGCTCTGTGGCTTAAACAAACCTGACTAGCTTCTGCTCAATCGCAAAGTTGCCCACATCAAATCCCATTTGTAAATGAGTTAGTTTGTGGCAACAGTGCCCCCCCCCAACCATGAAGATTTTCTCTCAAGGAGTCTATAACCCCTCACCAGAGCTAAAAGAGAGTATATCAGACACAGGATAGAGATAAATGGCTTGGATGGGGACCTGATACCACATAAAACAATTTCTATGAAGAAATGGTAGTTTGATAGCAATCTCTCCTGCTAAAATTCCCGGATGTCCTATTTGTTTCTTGTTCCATGAAAATTAATTGTTACAGACTTGCAATCACTAAGCACATTTTGCTTTCTAGGTTGGATTTAGTGGCCTGCAGCATTTTGAAACTCTCAGAATTTTTCCTCCGATTAAACAAATCTGGCAACGACCAGCTCCAGTAACAGTTATTCTGCAATTTAAAATACGCTGGTGTATTCGATGATTGCAGATTTTACTTTAGCTCAAGTTCCATCAACTAATACCATTTTTGGTAAATTGGAAGAAAGCTTGAGGTAAGAAATTGTGATGCAGTAGAACGAAAATTTGGTCTAGAATGGCTAAATGCCGAGTGGATTTGTTGGAACATTTTTTCAAAGTAACAAGCTTGACTGTGCATGGTTTGTGGCAATTTAAATTATCTCTTTATCATCATCATGATTAAAAGTATTGGTGCATCTCGCAAAATTGAGATATCTGATTGTAAAAAGATGGAGCAAGTAAATAGTCGGGGACCCGGTTCAGAAGAAGAAACGAGGATGTTACTACGTGAACTAGGGTTCCTGAAACTTGGAGGTCTTCCCGAAACTCACACGATTCTGCACATGTGATTTGATTGAAATGTCCTGCATTAATTGAGCTGCCAAATTAAAAATTGCCCTGTTACTGGATGACAATTTGTCTCCAGCTCTGCAGTGCAGTCAATGGCGCAACAGTGAAAGTGAAATATTGGACTATACACTCTTTAATGAAAAGGTGATCTCTTTTTCTTAAATTCATCTAAAAAGATTGTCTTCATTCCGTTCTATGGTTCGGTTAATTTGTTTATTTAGCTGGTGTACTGTTGGGTGTTCTATTTTCCATCATATTAGTAATGGAGTATGATTTTTGTGATGCAGGTTGCCTTTTCCCAACTTGGTGCAAGTTTCAAATTTCCAATGCAGATGCTTTGAGAAAGAATCGGCACAAACCACTCCACTCAGATTTTTTCTCTACATTACGGGTAATGAGGGGAATTATGGCATCAACTAGTGCATTTTTTCATCTAACATATTCAAGAGACTCGAGAATCT